CGGGGCTTCCCCTGGGCCGCGAAATGTTCCAGGAGCAGGTGGAGGTGGGAGCCCCACAGCACTGGGAACGCACTCAAGGCCAAATGAATTGGACACGTTCAAACAGTCCACTTGAACATGTCCAGTATGAACTTTACCTGAATTTCTAAAAAGTCAAGTAGGTTCAAGGTTTGCAAAATGGATAGAAATGGAGCAAACGCGGCTGTGAGGCGCCCCCTCCCCCCGCAGGCCGCCGTGGGCAAAGCGGTGTTTATTCCCTACAGGACGTGGCCCACGGTTCCCGTCTCCCCTCTGAGCGGGGATCCCCCCACACCTGGTGGCGTTTTGGGGGAACCCCTGCTGCCCACCTGGAGCTCCCTGCTCTGTTCTCAGCCCATGGAGGGGGACCCCGGAACTCACTTTCCCTTTTTAATCGTGTTCCTGCCCAGGAGCGGGTCCAGCACGGGGTCCACGGTCTCGCCGATGTTCTCGATGAGCAAGGTGTCCCCCTCGGAGATGGCGCGCTCGATGATGTCCAGGTAGCTGCGGGCAGGCGGGCGGGGCCTGAGCGCCGGGCCAGACGGCACGCGGCCCAGGAGGCACCGAGGCGCGACCGGGGGGCCAGCAGCACACGCCCGGCCGTCCTTCCCCGGGGGTCTTAGGCTCCTGTCAATCACGGGGTGTGTGTGTGTGTGTGGAATGGAGCCGCTGACACTGTCAGCCATGGAGGCAAACGCTGCCCCACCTGCCCTCCACGGCCGCCCGGAGCCCCGAGTTTCAGTCTTTATTCTTGGGGCTGTGCCCAGGGCCAGATGTTAAAAAACCCACCCGAGGGCCAGTATTTGTGTTTGAAGACCAGTCCACAGGGTTAATGAGCACCAACGGTCTAAGGCGCGTTTCCCAGCACAGCCGAGGTGTGGGCCCCCCATCCCTCTCGTGGGTGTAGCGGGCACCCCTTCTGCCCCAGGCGGAACCCCTTCCCCCCACGGCGGGCACCTCTTCTGCCCCAGGCAGAACCCCTCCCCCCCGCGGCGGGCACCTCTTCTGCCCAGGCGGAACCCCTCCCCCCAGCGGCGGGCACCTCTTCTGCCCCAGGCGGATGGCCTTCAGATCGCTGCCGAACTTGTTCCTGATCCACTTGATGCCCTGCAGCTGGGCGTCCACGATGAGCGGCCAGCGCTCCGTGTTGCACAGGATGGTGGCGTTCTCCGTGGACATGCGGTCGCTGGGGAGCCCCTGGTTGTTCCACGTGGCCACGCCCGCGTCGTCGGTGAGCAGGCTCAAGGGGTCCAGACCCTCGGTGATGGGGATGGGGACCTGCCGGGAGGTGCCGCCTTAGTGCCCTCGGGAGGCGCCCGCGGTCCAGGTCCCAGGGCCTCTGCCGTCAGACGGCGGGCGCGCGACCACCTGGGAGGACGTCAGCAGGGGCCACGGGGCCACAGTGGGACCTGAATGGCTGGAGCCTCG